AAACTGGTATTTTGCTTATTCTAATATTAACCCATTCCCGCCGGGCATGCCATGCCATGGCCACTGTGAGATTACTTGTTGGATTTTTACACATAGATGGCTACACTTGTACTAAATCACCAATGAGCCAGTTACGAGTACCGCCTGTCTCGCCCGTTCACCTTTTTCTTTAATTTACGAAATATTTTACGTTATCTTATTTTGCTGTTACTAATGTTAAAAAACATTATAAAAATTATAATGTTTATGATAAAAATAACACCATCGATATTCATGGCACTAGTGTAAAATACGTATTCAAATCAGGCGTTAACAGAGCCATCTATGGGCAGACTATTCACAAAAAAATATAGAAAATAGGCTCAGTATTTTCCCCATTTTTTGTTCATTTTCCCCGGCGGCAATGGGTTAAGATTTTGAAAGCAACCTTTTACATATCTGTATACACAAATATAAAGGCTTAGCTTACATGATCAAAAATTAATCATAATATTAGTGAGCATGAAGTCCTTATTTAACAATTACTTAATAATAATTATTATTACTGTTATTATTAACACTTAACCCCTTGCCGATAGGCATGGCATGTACGTACATGCCATGCCCATTGTGAGTTTACTTGTTTAATTGTTTATACACAGAGATGGCTACTCTTGTACTAAGTCACCAGTGAGCCAATTACGAATACTGCCTGTCTCGCCCGTTCACCCTTTTCTAATTTACGAAAATATTTAATGTTATCTTATTTTGCTGTTACAAATGTTCATAATATTTTAGTAATTATAAGGTTTATAACAAAAATAACACCATCTATATTTATAGCGCAAGTAAAAATACGTTTTTCGCGCCAATTCAAGGAAAGGTGTAATCCTTTATGGCTAAGCACTAGCAGAGCCATCTAGTAACAAGGACATTTCACAAAAATATAAAATATTAGCACAGAATTTTCCCCATTTTTTATTCATTTTCCCCGTTGGAAAAGGGTTAACTATCATCATTATAAATATTACTATTGTTATTACTGTTAACATCATCACCATAATCATAGCAGCAGCAGTGGCAGCACACACTCACAAACATACAAATAAATAACTTCTTAATTTTTCCTGTTAGGTGTCAAGCCCACTCTTACCATATTGGACAACTGAAGTTGATGAAAAAAATTCAGTGACATCATTCATTTTTTTTTAGAAGTGGTTATATATCTTTTATTAGTTTCAATACTTAAAAAATTCTGTTTAAAGTTTATTTTAAAAATATACAAAAAAATCAACATTTCTTCAGTCCCCAAAATACTCTGATCTCGACAAAATGCAACATAAATTAAGAAAATTGGAGGGAAAAAAAAAATTGATTCAAATGAATTTTATGGGCACATCATTTTACCATAATTTTAACATCAAATAATAGAATGATTTCATTAAGTGCAACTGCCCACCAGGAAATGTTCATTACCTCCCCGTATGCACAAGGGTAACAAAAAAAGCCATTGTCTTATTTTCCATTTCACTACCAAAATCCTACACAATGTAGGACAGCATTACCATTCTATTAATCTTTTTTCAATCTTCTTTAGAAAATTACAGTGACGGTCTCCTCAACCTTTACAATCCAGGTAAGGTGATCATGTCACAAAAAAATTACCTAGAACAGGTGACATGAACATGTCATTTTGAGCATTTTGGCTGAAGGCCAGGGTGACGGAGAGACCTCTTGGAGGATGATTTGACTCATTTGGCCTTTAGAAAGGAGCCTTTGCATTATTTCCAAAGTAAATGGAATGCAGTGATTTTTTAAGAAAAAATGCTACAAATATCAAAATCTTATTTCCTGTTATCATTCTTTCACTGAGTTATGGATTACCTAGAGAGACATGGAGTCTGTGCAAGGAAAACAGTCTATTACCATCTGGATAAAGCAAATCAAATAACAAATATGGAAAATGGCAAAAATAAATGCTAAAAATGCTTAAGCACAAAATGAGAAAATAACATTGCAAACAGGAGGCAGAGTTTTGTCACTTCACAGGAGTGTTCACGTGCACCTGGCCTACAAGCCACACACCCATGCCAGCCTAATGCCAGTATTTTGACCTAAGGGACTGCCATGAAGCAACCAAATCCAATGGGTCAAGATATGTGACAGTGAAAGCTGAACCCAATGCTGATGGGCATGGCAGGTACACATGCCATGCCCATTTCGAGTTTACTTTATTAATTGTTTTTACACTTAATTGTTTTACAATTCTACTAAGTCAACAATGAGCCAATTACGAGTACTACCTGTCTCACCAATTCACCCTTTTCCTTGATTTACAAAAAATATTTACATTTTATGTTATTTTCCTGTTACTAATGTTTATAACATTATAGTAATTATAATTTCTATAATAAAAATAACATCAATATTCATAGCATTAGTAAAAAAATACGTTTCTCCCACCAATTCAAGGAAAGATGAAATCAAGGTCACAAGGTATACTAATTGACTCCTTTGTGGCTAAGCACTAGCAAAGACATTTCACAAAAATATAAAAAATGAGCACAGCATTTCCCCATTTTTTATTCATTTTCCCCAGCAGCATGTGGTTAAAGTATGAAAAAAAAAAAAAAAAGTTCCTATATTGTTTAGAGATTGTGGATCTTCGGTGCACATTCTCTTTATGGAGGTTTAACAATACATCATATATATATGTCAAGTTGTATCCTATTTCACACTAAGGATGCCCAGAATAAAAGTGTCTAGAGGTAAAGATTAACTATTTCATAACTGTTACATTTTCCTCTCTCATGCAGTTACTAAGTAATTGTCGAGTCCCCCACGTTAGGCAATAGGTTGATTAACTATCACCTAATAAAATGCTTATGCGCTACTACCAGCAGCAACACAACAACAGTTCTTGGCAATCTGAGATAAGTGTTACCAAGTGTGGAAAACATATGCAGAGGATTATTTCTCATTTGGTACGTGGATTTTCATTATGAATGTGTGATTTTGGAGAGCTTTAACTGTCTCGCCTGTTCACCCTTTTCATTGATTTACAAAAATATTTTACGGTATCTTATTTTGCTGCTACTAATGTTTATAACATTATAGCAATTATAATGTTAATTATAAAAATAACACCATCGATATTCATAGCACTAGTAAAAAATATGTTTTTCCCGCCAATTCAAGGAAAGGTGAAATCAGGTAAGGTCACAAGATCTACTAATTGACTCCTTTGTGGCTAAGCACTAGCAGAGCCATCTATGTAGAGACAAAATATAAAAAATGAGCTCAGCATTTTCCCTTTTTTTTCATTTTCCCTGGCAGCAATGGGTTAACCATTACAAAAAAATATTTGATTTTACAAATAAAAATTGTACAATTTGGAAGGCTACATGAACACAAATACACACACGAAAAAATGGGAACTGACAGACCCTAACCCCTGTATTCCTTGATGTTCTTACCCAAGTTCTAAGCAAGGACTAAAAACCTCTTCATTATCCTTCTCTTCCACGAAAAAAAATAAAAAAAATCAAACTAATCACAACAAACTTTCCCCCCAAAACAAAGCTTTTAAATCTTCCTCAAGTGAGAATAGGAGGGTCAGAGATTAAAATTCATACTCCCCCCCACTCACCCCTTGCCTGTCACTTTTTATAAGTACCTCCCCCCCTCCTAAAAAATAAAAAATAAAAAAAATATATATATATACAAAAAAAAAAAAAAATACAACTAATCTGACTGGCAAAAGTTATTAGCATACCTGATAGCCCTGCTGAGGAAAGCCAGGTTGGGGGTAATGGTGCTGCTGCAGGTGATGCCCCATCGGCATGGGTTGCATGCCTCCTGAGAGTGCTGAGCCCATGCTGACCTGTGGCACTCCGCCTGACATGTTCTGATGTAATCCTTGAGGCACGCCTTGTGGCACATTCTGACTAAGGCCTTGAGGTACAGAAGAGGCTAGTCCCGGAGGTGGTGGTGGTGGAGCCCCCTGGAGACCTTGAGGGACCCCCTGGGGAACTCCCTGGGGAACCCCCTGAGGGACCCCCTGTGGAACTCCCTGTGATACTCCCTGAGGCAGGCCTTGATGAAGACCCTGTGCCACCTGCTGTGAGAGAAAGTGTCGTGTGTCAAAGGGGACCTGCTGTTGGTTCAGGTTTGACTCGCTGAAACCATGTGGAGTGTGTGCGGCTACCTGGGGTGCCATGTTTGTGAACTGGCCACCCCCTGACCCCTGTTGGACTGCATACACTCCAGCAACAGGAGCACTCAGGGACTGAGCAACAGGGGTGATGTATGACTGAGAGTTTGGTATCACAGGCTGCCCCTCTGACTGAGATGGACTTCTGTACAGATGCGAGCCCATCATCATTTTGTTGTAAGTTATGCCATCAACTTGCTGCTGATTCTGGAAATTAACAGGAAGCGGAGCAGAGAATCCTGGTGGAGGGGCTGCACTACCCCCACTGTTCTGAGTCCCTCCATTGCCTGCCGAAGTTGCTGTGGACACAGACATGCCAGGTGTTCTGCTTGTGCTGCTCTCACTTGTATTGGGCATCAACACCGCACTCACCTGCCCTCCTGCTGCTGCTTGACTTGCCATGTGGAATAATGCAGCAGGACTTATGCTATAATAGTACTGTTGCTGCTGTGGCTGCTGGCACTGGGAGGTGGTGGCCTGGCTATGGGAGGAGGTTGCAGATGCCACTGCAGGTGCTGGGATGCCCTGGCTCTGTTTCTGCTGCCCAGCCTGCTTGGAAGTTGCCTGGACACTCTGAGGTGGTGCACTGTTAATCCAATTCTCCCAGTAATTCTGCTGCTGCTGCTGTGGTTGCTGTTGCCCTGGCTGTTGTTTCTGCTGTGACTGTTGTACTTGTTTCTGTGGAGGCTGCTGCTGCTTTTGTGGTTGCTGCTGAGACTGTTGTGCCTGCTGGTGAGAAGGCTGTGGTTGATTCTTACCATGATGCTGGTGCTGTTGCATGGTGTTTGGGGGGAGATTCTGCCCTCCTGGAACCCCTCCCTTCTGCCCCTGGCTCTTGGCCATGGGGTTAGCATGCCCTGAGCCTTGGCTGCCAAGTGCCCCCAGCCCTTGGTTGATCTGTTCCAGGATGGGGCGCCCTTGGCTCTTATGGCCAAGGTGGTGGAATCCAGGTGGAGCTCCTATGCCACTGAACTTCTCCTCTGGTGTGGCCCCCCGGCCCTTCCCACTTGCCCACTCCCCAGACCCAAGGTTGGGAATCATGCCATTCCCAGATTTGTTCCCAGGCCCTCCAATAATGGCTGCCTCACTCATAACCAAGTTACTCAGAGTTGTGGAAGCAGATTTCGTGTCAGCCTTGGAAGTGCTCCCCATGGGCTCTACCGGCCGGCAGCTCTCTGGTCCAGACTCTTTGCCACTCACAGACTTTGAACTGCCGTTGCTCACGGCCGCATTGGGTTTGCTATTGTACGTGGATTTTGCTGTGCTACAGGCTGGTGCATGTGGGAGGTTCTCTTTGGAGGCAGAAGTCTGCTTCGCTGGATAGGCAGTTGCGACATCTGGAATAGGTATTATCTCATTTAGTTTTCTCATAGCTTTGAAGTACAGATTACTTTGGTAAAACAAATAAATCAGAACAAATTTTTAAAAAATATTAGCCTAAAATTTTAATGTGAAAGACCTTATCATTAATACTGTGAGATAATAGCCACATCCAGAGTCACCAACTGTTCATATTTTTTTCTTTTCTTGTCTTTTCTCTTTTTATTCTTAATCAAAGGTTTTAATTCAAAGATATATCAAATGTTTTTATTTTATTCTTAGAATTCAACCACATTCTTTGCAGAATTGTTGTTATCATAAGTCAATCGATGACAATGGATTAAATTTTGGGCTATAGACATTTAATTATTACAAATATAATAATAGGATAAAAGTATAAAATATACTCCCACATTTTGTAACAAACAAATCATATGTTGCTCTGTAATATATATATTTTTTATATATATCATCTGATATTATAAAAACAGTTCAAGAATTAACCGAACATATCAGACAAAAAAAGATCTCACTAAAATAAGGTATCTGATTTTTGTCAGAATAACACAAGAGGCTTATATAATCTAAATTAAGATGTGGAAAGTCTGCAAAACAAAATTTCAAAAATTAATTTTCTCTGAGATGTACCCATGGTCAATAAATTTCTGAAAGAAAAAAAAAAAATAGCAGAGAAATCTCACGTCGAGATTAGGAGACATATTAAAAGGCAATCCAAATACCTGCTAGACCTACAATAATCTTACTCTGTAAATTTCACTGAGCCATTTATGTCAAGAAAAAGTGAATCAACTCTGAAGACACGCACAACCTTTTTGCTCAACATTAAAGAAACAGATGATTCAAATATATCCCCAAATATTTTGTAAAAATAAAATCATCAACCTCTGTAACTTTTGGAAATTTTGTCCACACTATTCGCTTATAGTATGTTTTGTTCTCAAATAAGGCACTAAAGACAATTACGTTTTTGCTAACCAAACGCATACATAACAATCTATCGATCCATAACTGAGCAATACTGATTAAAAAACAGAAAAATAACAAGAAATGTGGGTGCTAGACGCTAAAACAACCCAAAATGTTTGCAGACACATCACAGTGCAATTCATCTTCACTACAAAATTACCACAAAAACAATAATACAGTATTAACTCTCCCCTGCAATATGTGCTTTCAAAAACATATCTTTCTAATTAAGTCTTAAATTCTCTATCTGAATTGTGACATATCTGAGAATCATTAAAACTGGATAGAAAAGAATAACTATCTGGCAATTTCTCCATACACCAAAAGCTCTCTGTTTTCATTATAAATCGAACTATCTGATATTCTAGAGCAGTGGTTCCCAAGCTCTTCTTAGAGACGGCTACCTAAAACTCAGTCCTTTCTGTGGCACGCTTTTCTTTAAGCTCTCCACAACTATATCTTTACAGTAGAGAGCATCTGCTTAAAACAAAATAAACCCACATTAAATACTCACATGACAAATACATACTTACCAGAGGAATAAGAGCAACTTAAAATTTAGATACAACATATAGGTTACCAAACCCAGCTTGAGAACCACTGTTCTAGAGCCTAGCAAAATTCAGATTCTTCAACCATCACTTGCCACTTCACTCTCTTCTCTTCCACCTCTCAGGACCAGTAGCACCAATGGCAGCACCATATAGAATTGCTGCACAGAATACATTGAAAACATTTCAGCACTGTGTGAGGAGGCTGAGTTAACACCCATTTAAATCCCCTCTCCTTCATGGGTTGTGGGTTTAGTACTGGTCCTCTGAAACACTGTTGTGATGGTGATTATTTCCTTCTCAGGACTCAGGTTTATGATTCTATGAGGGTAGTCATTTGGGGGGATGTGCTTACTTTTGATAGCACCTTCTTTAACCTTGATAAGGTTCTGGTCACTGATTTTTTGTGCATCTTTGTTTTTGTTAGCACTGCTTTTGCTTTTGTTGGCTCTCTTCTTTCTAGTTCTCTTTCTGGCCAAGTTTTGGCCACCAACATTCTCTTCATCACTTGAACTAAGTGATACCTTACCATCCCCTTGACTTGATTTGTTGGCAGATCTATTCTTTTTATTCCCCTGCCTGCTTGTGTTGTTGTCTTTACTTAGACTTTTATCCTCTTGATTGCCCTGACTCCCTTTCACTTCCTTGGTCTTATTGCCTTTCCCTCCAATACCGACAGCCTTCTTCCCTGTATCAAACTTCTGCCCCCTCTGATAGCCTGGTCCAGCCATCTCACGCCTATATCGGACCTTCATCCTTTCCTTCTTCTTCATTTTGCGCTCCTGTACCGCTTCCTTCATCTTCTCCTGAAGACTTTGGCCAATGTTAGAAGGCATTTCTACTTCTTTCTCTGGAATATCTGGGCAGTTACTTGTATCTGGAACAGAGCCATCACCGAGGTGCTGCTCTAAAATATCAAAAATCAAACTATACACCGCATAGGAAGAGGATTTAGCACACAACACAGCGCCACGAGATCTTTTTCTGATTGCTTTGTTTAGGTTTAAGGTCCACATATACTCTGCATCTGGAATGGGTGGATCCCACTTACAAGCCACCCTATCTGGATCTGTTTTCCCCTGGTCATACTTATCAACTAAGTTTCGCCTCATGCCCAGCACCATCTCCCCAATCTTACGGTACTCAGGCAAAGAGTCCCAATTCTGGCTATGCTCACTCATCATACTGGCAGGAATGCTAAAGTGGGAAATACCTTCAAGTGCCTTTGAAGCCACGTGGAGATTGCCTCCTCCCCCTCCTCCTTGTCCCCCTCCTCCTCCACCTCCTGTCCCTCCTGCTCCTCCTGCTCCTCCTCCTCCTCCCCCTCCTCCACCTCTTCCAGCCCCTGCTTCCATCTTCTCTGTTCCTCTTGCCGCCTCCTGGGTGTTCTGGGGCATCGCCTTGGCATCCTCAGCTGGGTGAAACTCGGGCGTCTCTGGCTTCTCCTCGACCACCTTGCGCATCTCCCTCCGTCCCTTCTGCCGCTCCTTCTTCTCCCTCCGCTCCATCGTGAGCTTCTTCTTAGGGCAGTCCTTCTGCACATGCCCAATCTTGCCACAGAAGCGACAACCGCGGTCATTGGGCGGGGCACCGTCTGTGAAGTGCTTGGCATCAAAGAGGTAGTCCTGTGCAGAAAAGATAGACAAAATTGAAGAAAAAGTTTCTTTAAGCTCTCTTCATCCACATTAACAATACCCATATATTCCATCTGCTCTATGTCACCATTTTGGTTTCTTTCCTTTTTCAATTGACCTCTTTACTTATGATTTTTTTTACGCTAAAAAAACATTTCATCTCTGGAATTATCACAACATGAAACATTTACTATATTCCACACATGAACTTAATAATAACAAAATTAGTCGATTTAATAATCAATAAGCAAAACTCACAACAAGGTCTCTGTAGCCTGGGGGAGTTGCAGAAATAGGAGTGCCAAATATCTCTCTCCCTCTAATAAGTGCTTTCATGATGAATGTGTTCACTGGAAAAGAAAATAAGAAAATGGTCAACAATTTCATTTTGATAAAATGTGGACATCGCGCGCGCACACACGCACGCACGCACGCACGCACACACACACACACACACACACACATTATATATATGTATAAAATAAACATATAGATAGATAGATAGATAGATAGATAGATAGATAGATAGATAGATAGATAGATAGATAGATAGATAGATAGATAGATAGATAGATAGAGATAGATAGATAGATATGTGTGTGTGTGTGTGATAAATAAATATATATATACATATATATATATATATATATATATATATATATATATATATATATATATATATATATATATATATATAGTAAAAAATACATAGTAACCCCAGATGGTATGTTTCACACACATCCCCAGCAGCTGCCTTTCCGGCCTTGGCTGGATGCAGGTACCTGCCCTGCTTTCTCTTTTAGGTACTTCTATTATGTAAGTAAGCATCCACCCTGGAAGGGAGCCTCCACATCGGACAAAGGAAAGAGACATGGCAGACAGGCCAAGCCATAAACAGTCCAGCTTCACCACCCCGTCTTCCATCCCAGCGACACAGGGGTCTCTTGGGGGATCTCACATCTACCTTCAACAATAAACCCCTTTCATTGCCCTGCACTAAAGCCACTCTCTCTTGCTGACATCTAGTGACAGCAGCGCTCTCTCTCCAACCTCTCTCTCTGATATCTGATGGCAGCAGTGTTCAGGAGCCTCACAACACCAATGTTAATTCACCTACTACCCTGTGATTCCACACTCCTCACCAATGCTTATTGCTGATCCACGTATCTACCGACAAGGTATTCAGGTCGACGTGCCTCCTCGTCTCACTTAACCCAATGGTGCCGGGGAAAATGAAAAAAAAAATGGGGAAAATATTGTGCCCACTTTCTATGTTTTTCGTGAAATGTCTGCCGATAGATGGCTCTGCTAGCGCCTGATGTAAATGGCGGGAAAAACGTATTTTTCACTAGTGCTAAGAAAATCGATGGTGTTAATTTTATCATAAACATTATAAATTTTATATTTCTTTTTTAGCATTAGTAACAGCAAAATAAGATTACGTAAAATATTTTGTAAATCAAAGAAACGGGTAAACGGGCGAGACGGGCGGTGCTCGTAACTGGCTCATTTTTGATTTAGTACAAGTGTTGCCATCTATGTGTAAAAACAATTAAACAAGTACTCACTGTGGGCATAGCACGTACGTACATGTCATACCCGGCACCAAGGGGTTAAGGCCATTGCTACCGCCACTGATCCACGCCTACCAGCATCATGTCTGCCCAACTACTTAGTGCTGACCACTCACGTCTGTGCTACTCTCCTGACAAAGACAATACATTCCCATCCCACCATCATCACCAATCCAGCTTACCTGTCTTGCCAAGTCTTCACAAACCCTCATCAGCACAGCCATGAAGTCACATTTCTACTTCCTCCCTACTATTAAAAGTAGGTGTGCCTATTAGTGACAGATTAACTATTGCCCTCCATATACCCACCCACACCATACATACGAGTTGCCTTCTTTCAAATTCAAGTGCACGCTACTCGGCAAATACACAATAATGACTTCTTGCTGGTAGTTTCACAACACAACAAACAAAATCACACACCGTGATCAGACCTAAGTGACACACCCTTACCTCATATCTCATCCCCTGCCCTAATAATTTTTTAATTGCAATATTTTTCTGCAACTGGTGTTTTATCTAATGTTTATTATTGTCCTCCTCACATATTGCAGTTCATTATACTTTATTTTATCCCAGTACAAATGACTAAGTATTAATATTTTTGGTTTTCCCTCCAATATGTTATTCATATTTACTGCAGTGACTTTCATTGTAATATTATTGTTTTAACCTGCATACTGTACCCTAGTCCCTACTAGTAAGTGATTCGTTACTACTTCCTCTATGAATGACTGTATATCATTCTGTCTTTCACAACATCTGTATGTTCTTATACTTCCTGCAATAACTGTTCACTTATTCACACTAAATCCACCTACCTGCCCACTCTACACAATTCACTCTAGTATTAAGAATTTTACTTTCATAACGTCATCTCAAAGTTTCATATCTTCCTCAATAATGCTGGAAATTATTCTTTTTTAGATTTAAGGTTAGGTGAATATGTACATGTAACTAACTGATGGTAGTGTCTCCAGTTCCAAATAATGGCTACACATTGCAGACACTATGCTTTATATAGGATTACATTGTTATTAACACTGCAAATTAATTTTAAGTCTGACTCATGGCCGTAAATGAAGGAATGCTGCACCCGCCACACAAAGAAATTATCCACTTACATTCACACAATTGATGTACCCAGGACACACACTGATAGAATTAACCCAACATTGCTGGGAAAATGCTCTCTCTGTCTCTGTCTCTACCTCTACCTCTACCTATAGCCCTGTCCCAGCCTGTCTTACTTCATCTTGACAATCTGTACACATACATACGTTTAGATCAGCTATCATAATTCAAATAGAAGTAGCCCCATTTGGCACATGCATGGCATTGACTTGGGGCTGCACACACAAGGAACACATTCTGATAATCTCACAAATTAAAAACTTCTGTTTAACCAATCAAAAGTCATTAATTGCATCATCTTCAGTTACTTGCAATATAAACATACGGTTTTAGACATGTTGCATTCAACCTAAAACAGCAACTTATTGAATAACTGTAACCTCCAAAAAAAGTTTATAATATTCTTGTTCTGTTTAAATCAGTGCCATGATTCTGAAGTCTTTTACTCTTAAACACTTCTGATATATTTACCAGTGAGTCATAGAGCAAAAGGGTGCACATCCCCTCCATAAGCTATTTACCTTCTGCTCTTTCCAGTGAGGCCAAATCATAAGAGACGGACATTCGTACAGAGAGGGACAACCGTTTTGAATGCCCAGAACACACAAGCCAGATTTTGTGGGGCCATAACCTAATACACGGTTTGTTTACATTCAAGTGATAACAAAAAGTATGCACAGCTACTTACTCTTCCTAGATAAGCCTGCCCCCAGGTTGTGACTGAGGTCAAAGGGGTCCTCAATGGCAATGCACCTCGAATTCCACAGTTTTTGTAAGCGGGTCAAAGGAGCATACTGTCGGATCGTCACCACATGCTCCTTCCAGTTAAATGTGTCTGTGTAATATTGCAGCATTGAGACCCACAGCTGCCCCACTGAGTCACGGTTCTTCCCATAATCTTTCCAGTGTTGGGCCTGTTCAAGGAAGGGGAAGATCAGAACTGAAAATCTAGGTTCTTGATTTATATGCTTAGGCATCATGTGCAATAAGCCTGGTTTAAATGGGTTTATTATCCAACACCTGCACAAAAGGAAGAAAAATCTGATGATATTAAAAAAAACTTACCAAGGTCTTCCCTTTAGCTTCTCTAAAGAACCAGGCATTCCACCCATCAATCATGTATTCTGGCGCTGCCTTTGAGTGGTCATAAAGCTGTAAATAAAGAAAGAAAGATCTTAACATGAACTTTCTTCCAAAACCAAATAATGAAAACAAAACAAAAGGATAACAACATTTGCAAAACCAAAAAATTTATGGGAGAATTCACTGAAGTTTGATACGGTGCAACAGCCTTGATTAAGCTAAATTAACCTATATGTAATGCCTTAGGCATATATGTCTCCTGCTTGTTTAGCCATAGGGGACTACTAGCCTGCGAGGTTGATAGACATGGGTGTATCCATGACTAACAGGTGGGCACTGAGAAGCCTAATATCTTAAAATTTACATAAAGGAAAAGTGCCTATTTTAATTCATGGCGTAAAAAAAAAAATATTCAACTGATATGCATACTGAAAGTACCTTGCCACTCACTATCAACATATCCTGTGTGTGGCTTAAGGATTAATATACATCCTCAAAAAGTTAAGACCAGTTTTCATTATTTAACCCAATGGCACAGGGTGTACAAAACAAAAAAAAAACTCTACGCTCTAGCAAACAAAGGTGGCGCTCTGACTTTGAGCGCGTGAGTAGGGGACATCAACTCGAATCACTGGCTCGCCGTGCCTCTGAGCTGCTCTAAGCACATCATAATATTTAACAAATTTCCATGACAAGCATTAACTATAGTTCATCATTGCCTGCAAAACAAACTAAGATCTGGGCAAAAAACACATTTGGTCTTACTCTTCTGATTTCTACGATAGTTTCAGAGTCTACACATGTGGAACCCAAAAATTTGAAGTTAGTGCCAGGTTAGTTAGAATTGAAATTAGTACTGGAATTACCACCTCATCTACTTACTTCCTGCAACACTGGGATGACAGGAGGCTTGACCTGCTGGAGGAAGTGAAGCACCATCAGGATGTACGCGTAGGAGGACAAGGATCCCCTTGAAGCATCACCAATGTCACACAACTTAGCAAAATACTTCATTGCATATCCAAGGCACTAGAATGGGAAGAGAGAGGAGTGAAAAAAAACATAAATAACATATTCTATTCCGTACATATTATGCATTTATTCCCTGTCTTTTTTCTTTTTATTTTCCTTATGGAGCATTTTCCACCAATTTATCCAAGAACTAATAAAAACTCAATAACCACCCACCTTCACCCTATGATCAATATTTGCATAGGTTGCTAAGAGCTTCGTATTTTGCAATGCAAGAGTATTATAGAGAGACAGGTCCCCCTCAAGGCAGGCACGACGAATGGCAAACTTCACGATGGGAACTTTGGCTGTTGTGATTGCAAACACGTGGTTACACTGGCGGTATCTCTTCAACTTGTCCGCCAAAGCTTCAATTATCTGGATGTGGTCAATGTCCTAGGGGGAGTGAAGGAGTATAAGCTTTGAGCTTACATAACAGGAAAAGGATATACTCATCAATCAGCTCAAAATAAGCAAATATTTAAAATGCACTCTCATCTCTTCCTCATAATCTCTTCTTCTCTCTCTCTTTACCACACAAATTATATATCTCACCTTTCCCTCTGGATTCCCCTTGAAAGTGAGGCAGATGTCCAGGTCAGAGCGCTGGAAACCAAAGCCATTGGCAGACGAGCCAAACAGCTTCAGCTGGACACCACTGAAGAACTGCTTGATGTAGGCCTCAAGATCAGAAACGATCCGGTCGCGTTCTTCAATTTCCTCAACAGAGGGCTCAAAGTCCTCTATAGATGGGGAAGGTAAGAGAGATAATATCATTATCAAGATTTTCATATGATACCTATATATCACCTATATAAAATTCTGGAAGAAACGAGATATACAGAGCATATCATATTAACAATTTTCATTTTGTGAACAACAATAGGCAGGCAAAAGAAAAACAAATCCTCTACATTGATCTATCTATCTATTATCCTTATTTCAGATAAAACATGGAAGCAGCCCAAACATACTCGTCAGCTGCTCAAAGATGGCTGTGAGCTGGTTAAGGAAGTGGTTGTTCATGGGTGGCAGGCGCACCAGAGGGGGAAGCTCATCCTCCCGGCAGTCTGCCTTGCAATGTCCTTCCTTCTGGCATGATCCACAAATCAGTGGAGGTTTCTGGCCATTTGTAAAGACCTTTTCCTCGAACCTGAAGCTGGAAGTGGTTCAATTCAATATAATTTGCTTCATGCAAGATCTACACCTAGCTACTACCAATATTAATAGATGTTTATACACTGTCCAATTTCGTCACAGATGGCTCTTAACATTTGCAAACTTTACAGTGGCTGCTTTGGGTAACCTTTTTGCACCTGTATCACTGCAAGTAGAACAATGAAGGGAAGTACCGGAAAACACGCGAATATGCCGAAGGCCTTTATGCATTTACTGCTTCATCAGGGCAGTAAATGCAAAAAGGCCTTCGGCATATTTGTGTTTTCCTGTACTTCCCTTCTTTGTTCTACTTGCAATTTGTTTGACCTGCATTCCACACCTGTATCACTGTTTGC